CCGGCCTTGGCGTAGAATGTTGGAAATGTTACCGACGGGGCCTGTGTGGCCTGCGTTGATGTGGGCGACTTCCCGGTGGGTTGATGTGGCGCGGGAAACCGCAGGTGGCTCTGGTGTAGTGGCTTTGGTGTTGAGGAAGGGAAGTGAAATGGCATAGTACTGGAATTGGTCGTATTGGTGAGTTGTGTCATTCCACTTAGCGTGGGTATATTGTCGGAAATCGGTGATCTCCTTGTAGGTGATGTTGCAGTCTGTGAGGATATTGGCAATGTACTGGTGGTGTGGTCGGTTGGGGTTGTCAAGTTGGGTGGCGTGGAATTCGAGCCATTCCAGAATTTGGTCTGCAGGTGTGAAGGTGTGAAAGTTGGGTGGAGGTCGCCAACGGTTGAGTGGGCGACGAATGACGGCTGTGGTGGGATATTGTGAGGGGTCAGGGTTGGTGTGTTCGGTGTTTGGGCGTAGATCAATGGGTGGTGGTGGTGACCGACTGCGGGATGGTGTGAGGCTAGATGTGTAGGTGGATGTTGAAGGCGACCGCCGTCGCCGGGTTGTGCTATGGTGTTTGGAATGGCGGTGATGGCGATGTCGGCGGCGGTGGCGGTGGCGTCCTCTGTGGTGATGGTCGGACTTGCGTCGGCTCTTGTGGCGGTGACGGCGACTGCTGTGTGGTGGTGGCGGGGAAGGTGGTTGCGGTGCTGGTGAGGCAGTGGTGTTAGGTTTGTCTGGTGCTGGTAGTGAAGTTCCAGGTGCTGGTGTGGCAGATACCAGCGAGGGGGATGCTGAATGTTGGGATACGGTGGCTGGTGGAGGTGTGTTTTGGACTGGTAGTGGATTGTCCTGGGCAGTCGTGGGGATGGGTTGGATCGGTGGTGCTGGATCCGATGGTAGCTGCGGTTGAAATGGAGGTTGGGTTGGTGTTGAGGCATTGGTAGTTTGTGGAGGCGGTGGCGGGGGCCCCGGTTGGAGTGAAGGCTGTGTGACGGGGGGAAAGGCTGAATATGGTTGCCAAACGCCCTGGGGGATGGCGTATTGGGGGTCTGTGGATGGATAATTGGCAGTCGCAGGCTGTTGCTGTGTTGGAGGGGGATGTGTCAGTGTAGTGGGGGGAGGAAGTTCCGCCGGCGGCGTGGGTTGAGGTGGTGGCAACAGGTAGGACGGGGGAGGTGCTGCTGTCGGAAACACTGGAGTTGGATGTGTAGGTTGCGGTGGCACGTGACATAGGTGGACAAAAGTCCAAGTGGATGGTGTGCCGTAAGTCAGTGCAGTGGCGGTAGGGGTGGGTAACAACGGTGGTGGTTGAAAAGGTTGTGGTTGTGGGTGAGGGTATGCCGATGGTTGTGTCGAGGGAAAAGTGGGTGCAGTTGATGTTTGTGGCATCGGCCATGTGGGTTGAGGTTGTGTGGTAGGTAATGGTGGTGGCGTGGTGTGAGCGTAGGGCCACGGAAACTGCATGTCGTGGTCGTAGCTATGGCGCGGCGCGGTGCGGCAGCAAAAAGCAGCGGAGAAGTGCCGAGTTGTATTGTCTTGTGGTTGGTCATTGTTGTTGAATGTGTCATCTCTGGTGTCAGTGGTGGGTATGTTGTAAGGTGGTGTTAAATGTAAGCTTGTTAGTAGGTGTGTGTTCATGCATCTCGAATTAAGCTGAAAAGTCGTAACGCTCATCCTTGAGTTCTGTCAATCGCGGCAGCAACATAGCGAACAGGGAAACACGCACATGATTGGAAAACATGAAAAGAAAACTGAATGCTGAAATCTGAGATCAGAAGTTCGGAATCTGAAGGATTCTTCAAGAACCGTTTTTTGGCCCGGCGGCCAGTGTGGCGGTTGATTCTGTGAGGGTGTCGGTGCCTTCCTGTGATGTTCCAGTGAGCGGTGGTGCGTTGGGGTGGTTGCTTTCCCATGCAAAAACAGCGCCCCTGTGACGGGGATCACACTCAGCACCCGAGTGGGACGGCTGAGCAGGACACACTTCGAACTTGGATTTTCAGTTAACGCAATTGTCTCAATGGGAAAAAAGGCGATGGAACGGCAAGGTGGAAAGGTCAGCTTCAAATGTATTGTTTAACACAGGTTTCAGGACAAGCGCAAATGGAGGCGGCGGTCAGCAGCTGCAGTGCAGTGGGAAACCTGTTTGTGGGGAAAGTATCATGTGGAACCACCATGAATCAAATCGTGGAAAAGTAGGGTGACAGCTTGTGAAGGACCTCAGCAGGTACGTTCAGAGAGCGTCCTCTCCGAATGTCACAGTCTCAAACCACCGTCTTCGTTGGGCAGTGGATGGAAAGAGACTCACTGCCCCCCTGCCTGTGTGAAAGTGGTAGGGTGAGACCCTTTGTCCAGGGTGGGACACACACACACACCAGAAAACAGCAATACACAATGTGCAACGACCCTGATAGGATACAATGTTTCTACAAAGTTGTTAAAAATGAATACTGTATATTTAACTGTATATATTGTTAAAGAACAAAACGTAACATGACCGCACACCAGTACCGGAATAGAAACAAAAAACATAACAAATATCAAAAACCAGGCGTCACCCCGATTTGGACCGAGGTCGACACCGTTTCACCCCTACCACCTTTGCGAAAAACCTTGGCGAATCGTGCGGGACTCCGCAGGTGTCCTGGCCCTCAAACTCATTGCATCGCGCAGCCGCTGAAGAGGCGAGCGCATCCAGCAGGGGCCAGTCATGCCTCGGCGCGACATGCAAGAGGCCAGTTTCTTCAAAAATGAATTGCTTCATGGAAAACAGGGGCGAGGGTGAGTGAGGGCCTTTCACGCCACAGTAGTGCGACAACACCCTTGCTTTCATCCACAGATCTGAACATTCGTCAACTAGAACCCCAACCCCCTCCAGACTCATTCAGCAGGGTCAGTCTCTAAGACATTCTAAGATTCCAAGACTAGGCTAACAACTCTGAAAGCCAGGTGTCTTCCAAGTAGCAAGTGGGTTTTTGATTTTGAGAAATACAATGATGTCAAGTTTCTTGCTGGCTCCGTTAAAACCATGTAACACGGCCATGTAGTTAATTCGGCCCTGCTTGGGAGCAAAGAGCTCTAAGAATGAGGCAACATCCACATGCGCTTGACACATGCAAGACATATATATGCAGTCATGGACCATGGAACTTCAAGAATTTAGATTCCTTCGTAGTGGGCAGCCATGCCAGCGTGGAGGTATGATGGTGATGGAGACGTTACGCGTGAAGAGTCCGCAGCGACCATCTCCTTCCTCACAACCACCAACATCATCCACCGCTTCTGGCGCCACAGCCTAGCACCACTATATATTTCAAAAGTTTTGCGCAACGTTTTGATAGAGCGTTTGTTTCAATATTTTCTAAGCACTTTCAGGCGGATGGAGAACGTGGACCTGTCCGAGCTGCAAAAGGAAAGGCTTGACTTTTTGACCGGGACCTTGCAACTTCAATAGGCCCAACTCGTACTTCACACTATTTGCCAGATCCTTCTCTACCCACTGCGGACTCATGTCTTGATGTAGGTCTGATCTTCTTTGCGGCCCGAGGGTTGCCTGAGCCAGCTGGAAGCACCAATCACTGTGCTCATATGCTGATTGCGCAATATCGTGTGAAACTTTCTCGGTTTGACATTTTCGTTGCGTTGGGGCTCAGGAGCTGAGGCTTGATGATCTTGGATTGGAAGATTATGCTTGGAGCAGTCGGACGCAGCCCGAAGCTTCAGCGCCTTGCGCCCGGCCCTTGCAGGAATGAACGAGTTGGAGACGGAAAACCCGTCACAATCTTATCAACCAAATTGATTTGGCCAGGAAAGTCCGTCACGTTTCAGACGCGGGCCCCAACCCTAAAATGTGATGGGTTTTGAAAAAGCCCTTCGCAACACATAAGTAAGGAAAATGGAAACCCGTCAGCCCGTCAGACTGTCTTTCCAGCCCCCTCCGAACTTCAAATTGTGATTGGTTTTTTCAAAACCTATGGACTTGCGATTGGTTTTTCGAAAAGCCAATCGCTTTTCTGGGGCCAGTCAGGCTTCCAGATCATGATGGATTTTCTGGGCAAAACCACTCAGCCAAATGGATTTGGCCACCAAAAATGCGATTGGTTTTCAAAAACCCGTCGCAATTTGACCAGCCAAATCCACTTGCCCGGGAAAACCCGTCACAGTTTGACCAGCCAAATCCATTTGGCCAGGAAAACCCGTCAGAATTTAACCAGCCAAATCTTTTTGGCCAGGAAACCTCGAACACTTGGTATACCTAGGGTCCAATAGCTTTTCACTTGGAGCAAGTAAGTGTTGCAAAACCTGTTTGGCGTAAAGGACTTGTCACGGTTTTACTGTTAAGTTGTGTTGGTTCAGTAAGGACAGCTCAGTTTCCAACAAAGACCAAATGGTAGAAGGGGCGGGGTTTTGAGCAAGAGCAAGTGGTAGAAGGGCCAGGGTTTGAGCTGGGTGCGCGTAACCTTGGTAGGCTGCTTGACTGCCAGCTAGCTGGCAGCCAGTGTGCCAGTTTACTGGCAACCACAACCTGTTTGAGTTTGTGATGCGTGCTTCTTGAAGCTTATTTGAGCTTCTTGGGGGGCTTTAGGAAGAGGTGAGAGTTGTTCGAGTAAAATGGTCGCGTGAGTTGAAGCTTGCCTTGAAGCTTCATAGCTTAAATGAAGATTCAGCATTTTGACCTGCTGGCTTGGTTGCATGTGCGCATGGAGCCTGGCAATTGAACGTGGTGCTATTTGCTATCATTATGGTGTTGAATCGGATGCCACGTGATGCGTGCAAGTGCTGATTTTTTTGCAAAGTGCAGCTAATGCTGCAAGTCCGTGGAAAAAGCTGCCAGCTTGCGCTTTGGAGTTTAACGGACAGGTAGAAATTTGGACACCCACTTGCTATTTGGAGGACACCCGGTTCAGGCTAAGCAACAAACACACAAAGTGTCTTTCTGAGATTCTTTGTGGGATCAGCTCTCCGCTTCACCCGAACTTCGCCGCCTAAAATCCGCCTTCACCTCTCCTGCTTTTCGCATGCGAAGGGCGCGCCGCGGTCGGGCGGAATATTTTCCGAACGCAGCGGTCACAGGGCCAAGAGCTGAGGACCGGTGACCGAGGTGTCCGGAAAGCCGTAGATCAACACCTGCGAAGGGTTTTCACCCGACTTGTGACGCCAAAAAGAAAGCGGCCAGTCCAAATTCGATCTTTGTTGAATTCCTTTAGATGTTTTTTGGAAGGGCGTGGAATGGGCAGGTCCAATCCATCATCTTGCGATCTCTGATGGCTATTCTAGCTATATTATTCAGCCAGCCAGGTGGGTAGACAGCCAGGGAGACACAGCTAGTCAGCCAGTTTAGAGGCAGCCAGCCAGTAGAGCCAGGGGCCAGGCAAACTAGGCAGCTAGAGGGACCAGGCAGGTCAGGTTGAGATCCTCTAAGACCCCCGCTTTAGTATAGCCAAGGTCAAGTATATACTGTATAATATACGCATAATACTGCGGCATGTTTGTAGGATTGGGGCAAGAGGATGTCAACCTGCCCAGCCAAACACACAGTCCGCTACACAGCCGAAACGAGAGAGGCAGGCAGCCAGTGGAGGGACAACCAGGGTCAGCCAGGCAGTCAGGTGGACAGGTAGGGCTTTCTGGAACCTAATTTTAAAAAAAACTGCACCAAAATCGACCATGTTGGTAGTTTAGCAGCGGCTTTAAACAGTGGTAATTAAACATAAATGTAAACCGTATTCAGGGGTCTCCGACCCGAGTTTTTGTTTTTTGTTAGCGTTTTGTAAATAGGTACTCGGGATTGTTTTGCTGCAAATTGGTGTCTCCCGCTCTTAAGCAAGCGGCACAACAACCAAGCCGTTGTGAAGGAACTTCCACTTCGAATGATTTGCCGTGCCCTTGAGCAGTGTCCAAGCACATCAGTGGCAAACAACGTCGCTGTGGACACGTGGTGTGCCACTTGCCCAGGGCCCCCGACCAGGAGAACAATTCCTTGCGCCGGCAAGTCTGTGTGCGGGTTTCGTTACAAAAAAAAACTTTGTATTCAAATGGGACGCACTCACTATTAGGCAGGAGGCCTTTACTACTACGAACAAGAAGCTACTAGCAACAAGAAGCTAGTAGGTGGAGGCCTTCGTTATTAGGTTGCAGGCCACTACTACTAGGAACAAACAGCTACTAGCAACAAGAAGCTAGTAGGTGGACGCCATCGCTATTAGGTTGGAGGCCATTATATACTACTAGGAACAAGAAGCTACTAGGTGGAGGCCATCGCTATTAGGTTGGAGACCACTACTACTAGGAACAAGAAGCTAGTAGGTGGAGGCCAGCGCAATTAGGTTGGAGGCAATTATATACTACTAGGAACAAGAAGCTACTAGCAACAAAAAGCTAGTAGGTGGAGGCCATCGCTATTAGGTTGGATGCCATTACTACTAGGAACAAAAAGCTACTAGCAACAAAAAGCTAGTAGGTGGAGGCCATTGCTATTAGGTTGGAGGCCATTACTACCAGGAACAAGAAGCTACTAGCAACAAGAAGCTAGTAGGCGGAGGCCATTGCCATTAGGTTGGAGGCCATTACTACTAGGATCAAGAAGCTAGCAGGTGGAGACCAGCGCTATTAGGTTGGAGGCCATTACTACTAGGAACAAGAAGCCACTAGCAACAAGAAGCTAGTAGGTGGAGGCC